ATACACCGTGGGAGCACCTTACACATCCGTGCACTTATTTCATCACATACACACAGGGGGCAGCCATTTTGTCAATGAATGTACCCATTCACATTAGATGTTTAGTGTTGGCTGGGATGCCTAGGGGTACCGGTGACCGCAGCCGCCACTCCAGGAAATTCACGGTTAGGGGAAGTCAGTGGGCTTTGTTGGATTTCAATGGCAGATTGACAAGCTTGGCTTTGGGACTTTCTGCTCAGCGCGCAGTTATTAGAGCGTAGTGTTTATTTATTTGCGAACTCTGCACTCCAACTGTGGGGAAACTACAAATTCCATCATGCTTCTGTCCCTGGGAGTCATGCCTGTGACTGTCAGAATCTTGCAATGCATCATGGGACTTGTAGTTCTACAACAGATGGAGTGCTACCCCTGTTCTATCAGGAAAATGACCATCTAGTATTGATGGTAAAATCCTCTTATTCATTCAACAGGAATCGGTAAAACCTCCTTTGCAAAGTCCATAAACAATTGATCACTTGCACTGTTTTGGCATTTACACTACCCACAGAATTGCTTTCTCGCCTGTGTATACTCTATGTGCACATCCTAAACTGTGCAAGTTGTTAACTTTATTGATTTCTCCAGTATGAAGGCAGATTTACAGAAATAGTGATACGAACAATTATACAGGAAGATAAACACAGAGAAGCCGATACATTTAGGGTTGTATTTACAAACAATTTACAGAGTCATTCATCCTGCAAAATTGCACGTACAGTAGGTTTGTTCTGTGCAAATGGAGGCAAAAACAAATGTTACTAGTATATTTTTTTTCCAGGTCGAATGTAATATATCAGAAAAATATTGCATTATGGCCACTAGATGGAGCTGAGGAGCATAGAATATGAATACGCGTTTCCTGTGCTCCTCAGCTCCGTCTAGTGGCCATAATGAAAGAAAATATATGAATAACATTTGTTTTTGCCTCCATTTGCACAGAACAAATCTACTGTACATGCAATTTTGCAGGTCAAATGGCTCTATGAATTCCTTATAAATACAACACTTCGTATCAGATTCTTTTGTAGAACTTGTAGAAATGGCTGTTGGGGCTACAGAAGCTTTGCATAAAGAAAGCGGTGGAAGAATTTCCACTTGTCAAGAATAAGGATGAAGACCATTTGAGAACATCCTGTCAATGGATCATGACAAACAAGGTACTTTGTTCATTCATGTCTGATGTGTCCGCACATAACCCGCCACATTCTATTAGTTTGTACAATAAGAATACACCTCGGATTTGTTGCTGCCTTAGGGAAGGGGCCCCATTTCTGATAGCAAATGAGCTTGGAGGTGTGTGACGGCAAAATAAGGGAAGGCCATATTCCTGGGACGCTAACATGTGGGTCATGTACACAGTGCATTCTGGGACATTTGTCCCTCTTGGCAGATAAACCTGAAATCTCCCACAACTTGGAGAACACAGAACCTCTCCGGGTTCCATGCACAGAGAGCGAATAATACACAAAGCCACCTTTTACATTAAAGCTGAACTCCAGACATCCAGCTGAATACACAGTGTAATACTGTGCACAACGTCTGTGAAGGTTCCTATTCCTCCAGGTCATGGTATGTCTGTGAAAAATAAATCAAGACAACTGGACTTGCTGTATTTGTTCTTGAAGACGTTTCACTGGTCATCCAACCAGCTTTCTCAATTCATTCTGAAGCCACATTCATTCTGAATTCAGAAAGCTGGTCGTACGACCAGCGAAACGTCTTCAAGAACAAATACAGCAAGTCCAGTTGTCTTGATTTATTATTTTACAGATATACTGTTACCGGTCTTCTGCCAAGAGACGTGTAATTCTGTCCAGCCACTTCTGTGATTCATACACCTTCTCACATGTAGTTGATCACCAACTCCTGACTGGCCACTACTGCCGCCCTTTCCTCTCTCCTATATGTGCTTGGAGTTCAGCTGTAAAGCCAGAAGAATTGGTTACTGTGGTTTCCAAAATAGGTTTGGAGACCATTACAGTTCTCTTAGATGTTCAATGTCTTATCTCAATAAATGCACTTCAAAGAAATAACTGTATTTCATTCCACCGATTGTCACTCCATGTTCTCCTGATATAACACATGGCGACGAATGTAGAGAGAATAGACACATTGCTTCAACCACAAATGAAAGAGTATCAGTCACACATGTATAGCTGGCACAGCCATTTTGTTGCCTGAACAAGTGTTAGAGTGCAATCCAGCCTATCAATATACTGCAATGTCACATTCCTCCCTCCAATGCCTCAGAGGCAGCCCTCAAACCTTAATGCACTTACTGTGTATACAGTTCCTTGCAAAAGTATTCACCCCCCTTGGCATGTTTCCTATTTTGTTGCATTATCACCTGGAATTAAAATTGATTTTTATTTGGATTACATGTAATGGACATACACAAAATGGTGAAGTGAAATCAAGAAAATAACTTGCTTTTAAAAATTATAAAAAAATGGAAAAGTGGTGCACGCATATGTATTCACCCCCTTTGCTATGAGGCCCCCTACATAAGATCTGGTACAGCCAATTACCTTCAGAAGTCACATCATTAGTTAAAGAAAGACTGCCTGTGTGCAAATGTCATGATCATATGATCTTGAATTTTTATATACACCTGTTCTGAAAGACCACAGAGTCTGCAACACCACTAAGCAAGCGGCACCATGAAGACCAAGGAGCTCTCCAAACAGGTCAGGGACAAATTTGTGGAGAAGTACAGATTAGGGTTGGTTGGGTTATAAAAATATCTGAAACTTTGAACATCCCACGGAGCACCATCAATTCCATTATTAAGAAATGGAAAGAATATGGCACCACAACAGACCTACCAAGAAAGAGCCACCCGCCAAAACTCATGGACCAGGTAAGGGGGGCATTAATCAGAGAGGCAACAAAGAGACCAAAGATAACCCAGAGGGAGCTGCAAAGCTCCACAGCAGAGATTGGATTATCTGTTCATGGGACCACTTTAGGCCGTACACTCCACAGAACTGGCCTTTGTGGAAGAGTGGCCAGAAAAAAAGCCATTGCTTACAGAAAAAAATAAGCAAACACTATGAAAAGCTATATCTGGTGAAAAACCCAAGACCTCTCATCACCAAGAGAACACCATCCCCACAGTGAAGCATGGTGGTGGCAGCATCAGCAGGGACTGGAAAACTGGTCAGAATTGAAGGAATGAAGGATGGAGCTAAATACAGGGAAATTCTTGAGGGAAATCTGCTAGCGATTTGAGACTGGGATGGAGGTTCACCTTCTAGCAGGACAATGACCCTAGCACACTGCTAAAGCAACACTAGAGTGGTTTAAGGGGAAATAATGTCTTGGAATGGCTTAGTCAAAGGTCAGATCTCAATCCAATTGAGCATCTGTGGCATGACTTAATGATTGCTGTACACCAGCGAAAGCCATCCAACTTGAAGGAGCTGGAGCAGTTTTGCCTTGAAGAATGGGCTAGATGTGCCAAGCTTATAGAGACGTCCCTCAAGAGACTTGCAGCTGTAATTGCTGCAAAAGGAGGCTCTGCAAAGTATTGATTTTTGGAGGTGAATAGTTATGCACACTCAAGTTTTCTGTTTTCTTTGTCTTATTTCTTGTTGTATTACAATAAGAAATATTTTGCATCTTCATAGTGGTAAGCATGTTGTGTAATTCAAATGATACAAACTTCCCGGAAAATCGGAAAATCAATTTTTATTCCAGGTGGTAATGCAACAAAATAGGAAAAATGCGAAAGGGGGGAGGGGAGGGGGGATACTTTTCCAAGCCTCTGTATTTAGTGTGCTACCACTATGGGAATTTTGCAGAGGGCAGATGGCAATGGAGACCCTGCAGCAGTTCTGCAATATATATGTATTTATTAGAGATGGTCACTAATGGTGATTCCTGCTAGTCTACAGGCCCCTTACTGCTGACACAAATCCATGGCGCTCATGGACAATTTATACTATATACGTTTTTCATTTTGGAGGGGTTCCTCAAACTACAAGGCAAAAATGAAAAACAATGATTTTTGATATTTTTTTCTCCAAGTGTAAATAACATTATGTGCAGTTGTTTAAAGGGATCCAAGACAGCACAGAACGTCCTCCAAAAGCACAATCTTGCCCACCACTTATATGCCCCATCAAGCAAGTAAGCACATACTTTTCTCCATCAATGGAATGGGGTGTTGAGTGGTACATAGCTGATGGATTATAGAGGACACTACCACTAAAAAGGGCAAATAAAACATTCAACCTGGAAGGCAAATGAGATTATTGGTTGGAGACTCCCCATGTGCCTCCTGTTCACATTGTAGCTGGAATGTAGTTTTCCAGAACAGATTTATAACATTACAATATTATCTGACAGTTACTATCCCATCTTATATTTGAGATGCTACTTGTTTTTCAGACAGTACAAATGGTGTAAGAGTTTTTGAATAGCCTATTGTGGTACAAAAGAAATACATATAATAAAGTTGTTGCCTGTAAACAAGGACAGGCCGTCATGCACGATTGTGCAAATGTGCAACACTCACAAAGCACCTTGAATGTTGTCATTGGGCAGTTGTTCATGTCTGGCAGTACCATACTGCATAATGACATGCTAACTGCAAGTACAGCAAGTGGTCTCACTTTGCCAGGAAGCACCCACGTGAATAATGTCATTATGTGCCCGTGTCTCACCTTTAGCACAAACCATCACAGATTAGCGTTTCCTCCAGTCTCCTTGATTTGCCTGAGAATGAATGTATGCTCGATCCATATGAAGTCATTCTATGCGTGACAAACAGCCATGAGGAAACCTTTTTAAGCAGAAGAACAAGCACAGCATTATACAGGATATTTAACTCTTGTTCTTTGGTTTTGGTTCTAGCCATGTTGGTTCTCCTGACATGAAGAGCACCAGTGTGTTCAAGTCTTGTGTGATGGTGGCAGCACTGCTCTTTCTGCAATGCCCCAGTCAGTGCTATGGGGCTACTAGCTCTGTGGCTGCAGCTTTTTGGCATAAAAGTCCCTGCAGGTCTGGCAGCATCGCTGGTACCACCTCATATCCTGGCAGAGGTTCTTCTCCCGGATAACTCGGCAGTACACCAACCACTGGTCACCAGTGCATTTGTACGTCAGTGCAGCTGTAAGACAAAAAGCTTGGTTAAGGTTGTATAAAGACAACGGGACTTGACAATGCTAAAGTCTAAAACTGCAAATATCCAACTGGTTGTCATTGCATTCTCTATGACAGGTTTTATAAAAGCCAAATTATAATGTACATCACAGGGGTGCATTAGGGTGGAGAACACTGCATCAGAGACATGTTTTTAACAAGTTGAATCATTCTTCATGCTTTGAGCTGGACTTCACTAGCTGTGCTAATGGGGAATACCTGTCAGCGAATTAACCCTTTCGCTGCCAAGCCCTCCGGAACATTTTTCAAATCAGCTGGCCAAGCCATTTTTGAATTTTCTGCAATTTTTTCCTATTGATTTGATTTTCAACTGCTGCGTTGCTAGCGTTTGTAAAAGACCCCCCAAACCATATATTTTCTGAAAGCGCAGGCCCGGTAGAATAAAACGTCCTTGGCAGCGAAAGGGTTAAAACTGCATTGCATAATAATTAAAACATATATTTTGTATTTTTTTCAGCTTTAAGTTTTCTATCATTTCACTTCTCTTCTCTTCCTTCTCCTTAGACACTTCCTCTGTAGTCATTTTACACGTATTTATTGGATTGCTTCTAGTGACATAATCAAGTTAAAATAATAAAGCAATTCTAAAAGATTACTGTTACTAACCAAGTCTCGGAGATGTGATGGTGTTGGCATTCACTTTTTCATTGCAAGTTTCTTGATGACATTGCTTGTAGGCCGCTGGTTTGGACAGAAAGGAGCATTCGCTTCCATGGCGACCAGTCACTTTATGCATACACTGTACTACACGAGATTGCAGGCCTTTACCACAGGTGGAGGAGCACTGCAGGCACACAATTATGACAAGAAGTCTGATTATGTCATCATGGCAAGTCCAGGAAAATTCTAACATTTTGCTTCTACGTTTGAACAGGGAAATTCCAAACAACAAAATAAGCCTCTAGTATGAATTACAGACTCAATGATGTAAACAGCCACTACAAAAACAAAAAGTCCTTTTGTATGCAATATATTTGTGTACAGCCTTATAGTCTTTAAAAAGGTAGTGTGGTGGACATACTGTATCTTTGTTTATGCATATGGTTTTGATGTTTTTTTTAAAATAAAAAACACCTTAAAAGGAACCTTTCAGGGTAGAAATATGGGAGAAGCCAATTCTGAGGCAGAGGGCCAGGGGTCACTGAAATCTCACAGTTGCAGGCCCAACAAGTACCTGGCCTTGCACATGGTCCTCCATCTACTGAATGTGCTGTGCATGAGGCCAGGTAGTTGAAAAGCCATTAAATGTCTCACTTTAGGCTCCGACATAATACCTTTTTATCCCAAGTACTATAAAAAGAAGAAGGGGCCATCCGCTGTGTTTGAAGGAAAGGGAGAGGGAAGTACAGGCTGCTTATGGTGCTCAGGTTCACGTTAACAGGCTTTGTGTACCCTAACAGATACCTCCTGTGAACACCCCAACATGTGTCACGTTTTACCTGCTAAGCTGATTAGTTTACATGTGTTTGTATGCCATATCCTACTTCTCCAGCAGTGCAAAGACTGGATCTCAAAAGTGACATCTCTAGCGTAGCCCATTAATAAACACCCAGAAGAAGAGGCCCTGTGCCTGAAAAGCTGATGCAGGTATGCGAGTGCCTTCACTAGATACCGGTCAGCAACTTCTAGTATTCTCTTTATACATCCATACTTTAGAGGAGCAGCTATATTAATTTAGGCAGATATACACGAGTGGCCAGATTATTATGGCCACCCCATCAGTACTTCGTTGGGCCACGAGATGACTTTGTTGGGCCGCCTCGTGACTCCACGAGATGTTGAAAGGTGATGCGAGGAATCTGACACTGCACTGTTGTCCTTCTGTTGTCTTGTACCAGTCTTGCCACTCTCCGTTCTGCCCTAACATTGACTAGTTGCTGACGGCCATAATTCGCACGTTCAGACCCAGATTTTCGGCTGACAGTCCAGTCTTTAAACACCTTAACAACAGCTGCTCTTGAACATTTAACGCATTCTGCTGTTTTGATGATACTCGCTCCATGGCTCCGAGCGCCAACAATCATCCCACGTTCAAACGCTGTTAAATCGCGTTGTTTACCCATATCTTCAGAAAAAAATCACTTCTACTGTTGTGGTAAACAACCTGCTTCCCTATTTATAATGGTCTGGCCCTCTAGCAACTTCAGCGCGAAATTATAGCTAATTTGCCTACAAACGTCAGGTGGTCATAATAATCTGGCCACTCAGTGTACATAATCCAAATTCTGTGCTCCTGTCCATTCTCCTAAATCCTGTCCCAAAAGACAAAAAGCTGCTGTGTTTCCAAATCAATGAGTGCGATAAAGTGTGTGAGTGTGTAAACTGAATAGTGTGTTTCAATTTACACACACAGTTTGCACTCTAGAATGCAGGCAAGGCAAATCAGCTGTGAACAAGCAGGCAAAGTGATGCACCATAGGAAGTCAGATGGCTTTCACATTGTTTTATAGTTTATAAATGGACCTTACTGAGAAAACAAAGAACAAAACAAAGCGTAATGCTTATTACATAAAAAAATGTAATATGTAGAGATTACTTTTCAATCAATTATGTCTGGTTTTCTGTCCTTTAAAGCCAGAGTTGGAAAATCTTCAAAAAAAACTTTAATATGTCTTGGTTTACAAAAACTCAACAAAATCAAATCCTTATTTAGACAACTTTACAAAAAGGCGGCTTTCGGAAAAAGGTTTCTGAGTCATATTGTCGGGGTGTTTCTTTGGTAATGTCTCATCACTTCAGCTAAAATTGCACAATGTTTTAATACAGGAGGAACTGAAGATCTTGGGAGCCTCCACCCTCCAGGCAAAGTCCCTACTGTCACCAGACAGTGTTGGGCAGTATTGATTATCAACTGTATTTTCTTCACCCTACAGAGGTTTTACATTATTCAGGGAGCAGCTTGAAATGTGCAAAGCCAATAAGGGAGTTAAAACAGCTGTAGACTGTATTAGGCATGACATTGCCTTGCCTTGGAAATTCATCGAAAAGCAATGGATTTTTGGGGGGCAGGCAATGCAACACCAAAAAAGCCTTCATCCTCCAGATGCCATGGAATGCAATTGATGTTTTCCTACCAGACAGACCTTCCTGTAACATATTGCCGTGTAGCGCTGACTAAACTCTGTGCTTCAGTAATGTGACTCTTTAACTGGTTTTAAATCCCAATTGACAGCAACATATAGTGTATAAAAACACACAAAATACTGCACTAGAAATGCACCTGTTATTTCAGAAAGTAAAAGCAACCTATTTGTATTGATGAGGAAACTAACACCACACAAAGGAATACTCGGGTTGTATCACCTAAGTTACTGTTATTAGTCTTTATTTAAAGGATATTCTTACACTGGGCCCCAAGGTCACACAATTGTTCCACTAAGTTCTGGAAATGCAGAGCCAGATGTCAGGGATTTCATTTACTACCATCAATGCCTTTTTAGCAATAGAAAGTTATAAAGTAGAATAATCATATGATACATTTTTAAGTTATAATGTGTACAAGAATTGTGTTGTTGTTGTTATTGCTTACTTTGGACCAGTCCCCTGTCTTCCATTCAAAGCAGCCTGTATAATTCTCACAGTCCTCCTCTTCTCTTGGCCTAGTGGCTGAGTCACATTTGCCCCTAGTATTGGTACATGATATCCTCCGCTTCTTGGTGCCTCGCCCGCAGTCTGAAGAGCACTACAAAACACACCAGGGACATTAATACAAGTTTGTGTAATTCTATTCCTGTAAAACCGCTATTATTTCTTAATAAACATTGTTCAAATAAGGAGAAAAAAAATCACTGCCTCCAGGCTTCCTCTTGTTCCTTATGAATGTCCCTGTCCACAAAGACTCTCAATGTGCTGAATCTATGGCTCTATGGAGATACTGTCTGCATCATTACAGATTGTCATAGCATGTTTCCCGATATTTTATATTACACATCAAGACTTCCATGCTTTACTTCTCCAATCCTCCTGAAAATGATTTTATTATTCTAACCATTTCATATGGATACAAAACTAGAATATCCTTAATGAATTTGCTCTTTCTGCCCTCCAGGCTCGAGACCCTAAAAAGAAGAAGATGCATAGAAGTCTTCTACCGAGGAAAGCCTTAGTACATTAACAGAAAAAAAATCAGAAATTTTGAATCAATTTGGTGGCTTTGGGCAACACATGCAGTTTTATTTATAGGCGCTAAATTAGATATATGACAAGACTGATTAATCCTTCTATTACAAAGCTATGGTGAAAATACACAGTACGGCTCAGTGCTTTTACAGCACAAAGCTAGTTCCCAATAACAATACCGTATAGTTGTCAGACGTACACTGGAACAAAGTATAAGGCTGATTCCAGATGGGCAGCTCTGTTACCAGCGATCCTGCTGCTGGTGACTTGTCGAAATAGCCAGCGGCAGGGAAGCTAAGAGGCCGCCTGTTTGTCCCTATGAAATTGCTTCCTCTATGGCTGAGGCAACAAGATGTCACTCTCATTGCTAGCGATTGCGGTTCAGGAGCGTTCAGGACAATGACAGAGCAAAATCAATCTGTAGCTGGCTACAGAGGGAGTCATTCCAAATAGACAGGCAGGCAGCACCTTTAGCGATCCTGTCTCTGGTGATTTGGGTCTAGCGGTAGAATCACTTAAATTTATTAAGAAACTAAGCACTGTTTTATGTGAAACATGGAAGTTATCTAAATATTATATTAGCATAGGGAATTCCTATGCTCCTCAGCTCTGTCTAGTGCCCATAATGAGCTGAGACTCACATTTGCATAGCTGTTGGAGTGCAAATGATTTATAAATCGCCCCACTTTCTGTTCCTTTAAAAAAGGCAGTTATACTACAAATTGTGAATATAAAAAAATGTCTGCGCTATGGAAGCTGTCTCAAAGTGATAAATATAAAAGATGAAAAGCTACCGTGCTAATAATATAAATAGACTAGATCAAAACAGATGCACTGCGCTAATCAATAATCATAATACGTGAATAATAAAGTGCTAATTATCAAATAGATCACATATAACCAATCTAATTAATAAATACTCATAAATAGTAAAACATGTCTCTCATTGTAATATCTCCAGTAGAGATTATGTGCACAATGGTAATTAAAAGTCCACCATAAATTGATGCAAAAAAAAGTTCCTATTGCAAGCGGAGGAGCAGACGTTCACTTTGATTGTGATCCGGGATTGTTATGCCTCTTTGAATATGTAAGTTTAAGTCTGGTGAGTGTGGTGTTTTTCACAGTCACCGGGAGTTTGCACACTACAGCTATAAGGAGGACTTATCACTGATGGTTTTTTATATCTTGGCACTTTGTCACTTTTTTTTTGGCATCAATTTATGGTGGACTTTTAATTACCAATTTGCACCTAATCTCTACTGTAGATAATACAATGAGAGACACGTTTTATTATTTCTGAGTATTTATTAATGATGTTGGTTATAGGTCATCTATTTGATATTTAGCACTATATTATTCACGTATTATTAGTAATCACAAGAAAAAGAAAATGGGGCTTTTAAGGTACCAAATGACAATTCCAAGGCAATGAAGGTAAAAAAGTAATATTTATACATGATTCAAGAAGTGCCCGTCACTGAGGCACTGATCCTCGCTCCTGTTTTCTCCCCCCTTGGATTTTGGGATCCTGCCTGAACTGGTCCTGCTGAGTGCACACGTACCAACCTGCTTAATTGGTAGGTGGTGCTCCTACTTAGTCATCTATTCTTTACACAATTATGGTTTTGTACATTATGTTTATTGATTTATTTGATCATGCAGATATCTTCCAATTCCAGAGGAAGTGCTTTTTAGCGTTAAACTTTGAAATGATGTGACTCCTCCTCTCTGAACAATTTATAACCAATCATGTGTTTGAATTATGTTATAACATTATATCTTCACTCTATCATGTATCTTTGATGTGGTCATCAAGGGGAGTAATTATATAACTCCTCCTCTTGAGCAACTTTAAACGAATCATACGTATTACTTTTTGAATCATGTTATAACATTATACATATTTTATTATGTATCTTTGATCTGTTCATCAAGTGGAGGGAGTCTGTCAGGCGATATCTGATCAGTATTCCATAAATAAATGTTATCTTAACTGAATATATTTTAATCAGTATTTAATAAATATTACTTTTTTACCTTCATTGCCTTGGAATTGTCATTTGGTACCTTAAAAGCCCCATTTTCGTTTTCTTGTGATTACTACTATTACCAGGGGTGTGGTACCGCATGCTCAGGTCCTGGCCATAAATCTAATTGCTCAATATTCACGTATTATGATTATTGATTAGCGCAGTGCATCTGTTTGATCTATACTACAAATTGCATTCTTGATTACAAAAAATATGCAAGGTATAGCCAAATGCATTATTGTCTTAAAATTCCCATGAGCATGAAATATAAGGATCAGACCACGATTTTTAGGTCGGTAAACCACACCATAGTTGATTATATTTTGGGGAACTAGTACTCAATTGTGTTGAATTGTTTCATTCCGGGGTAGGGGTGTCTGGATGTGCTCATTTCTCTCTTCATATGTCATATGTACAGAAACCAAAATGGAACGATTGCTTGGTGGTGAAAACATGCAACTGCCATTTGATCTATACAGCGATTTTGATTCACACTTACTGCTGACCATTCTGAAGCTTCCCATATAGATAAACAGTCTTGACCTTCACAGCTCTGTTTAGTTGCTGGCTTGTGGCTGGTGCAATAAATATCCCGTGTATTGACATAAGTTCCATTCTGCAGCTGGTACACACAGGTAACTTCTCGCTGCTGGAATCCTTTTTCACAGGTGGCTGAACAATGACCCCATGACCCCGTCATCCATCTGGAGGAAAAAAGTAAAACATTTTATCAGATTACAGTAACATACGGCATATATAATGACGTGTAAGAGACTAAATCATTGTTAAATAAATTTATCATTACAGATGAGCCTGGGCTTGGTGCCAAACCAGTTTGCCTGAGTTTGTCTAAAGCCACTCAAAGTTGTGACCGCCACCCCTCCTTCCCTCCCTCCTGGCCCAATTAACTGAAGCAGATACGAGGTATAGCTGTGGGGCGTGGAATGCACCTCTCCGCAACTGACTTGGCCCGGGAGGAGGGGGTGGCAGTCACAGTTTTGAGCGGGCCTGGGCAAACTCAAGTGAACTGGGCTCGCACCAAGCCCAGGCTCAACACTATTTAACATAGGGATACATTATAAATGGGAACAGCAAAAAAAAAACAGCTGAAGACACAGTTTAAACGCATGTGATTTGTTTTACCTGAAAAGAGGCTTGTAGTTTTGTCCAGCCACTGTTGTGATTTAGCCATCCTTTACATGAGAATACTCCTTCACATTAGTGTCCCTCCTTCACATCAGCAATACCCCTATATATCAGAGGCCTCCCTTTCACACTAGAGTCCACCCTCCTTATCAGAGTCTCCTCTTCTGACCAGAGTCCTCCTTTCACACTAGAGTCCCCCCTTCATATCAGAGTCCTTCTTTATCATTAGAGTTCCCCCTCCATGTCAGAGACCTCCCTTTCATACTAGAGTCCCCCTTCATATCAGAGTACTTCTATCTCATTAGAGTCCCCCCTTTATATCAGAATCTCCTCTTCTTATCAGAGTCCTCATTTCTCATTAGAGTCCCCCCTTTATATCAGAGACCTCCCTTTCATATTAGAGTCCCCCCTTCATATTAGAGTCCCCCTACTCACATTAGAGCTCCTCCCCCTTCATACCAGAGTCTCCCTTCTCACATTAGGGTTCCCCTTCATATGACAGTCCCTCCTTCACCTTAGAGTCCCCCCTTCATATCAGAGTCCTCCTTTCATATTAGAGTCCCTCCTTCATATCAGGGTCCTCCTTTCACATTAGAGCCCCTCCCCCTTCATATCAAAGTCTCTCTTTCCCATTAGTGTCCATCTTTCACATCAGAACCTTCTTTGGCATCAAGAGTCCCCCTTAACATCCTCAGTCCCCCCTCACAAGAAAATCCCCCCTCTTCACCATAGCGTAGCTGTGACAGGGAGGGTGGGAGATGGAGCAGGTCTCGACATAGGCAGACTTCCATCCTCGTCTGAAATCTGGGGATGGTCCTGGATGCTGCCTGCCCTGGATTAGGATCATGTTTACATGGTGCTGGCCATCAGCCTGTGTGACCCATGGAAACGCATGATGCTGTGCGAAAATGTGATGCCTCTCCTGTTGAAGCCAGGTGCCACCCTGGTTGAGAAAAGCTCACACACACACATGACTATAGCAATCAAAATGTGCATCTTGATTGTCTGGGGCTTGTTATGGAACACTAATTCACAATAATATAATCAGGTTAGCAGGCCGAAATTAAAGCAAGTGATAAGACCTCACAATACACACAACAGAACATCGCAGCTCTTGCAGAACTTTCCTTCCAGCCCTTCTTTCCATACAGTGTCACAGGATCTATCCACCCGCCATGGGAGACCTGTGAATCTTTCCAGATGTGCCATAGTTCTTGTAGTGCCAGACACAACACACTGCTGTCCTTTGGAATTCTGGAGGAAACTATCAGAGCCAGGCACAGAACGGTTTAAAGTTTGCATGCATTTACAGATCAGAGTTTCTCTAGTAGGTGCAGTTTTGCTTTCAGTACCAGTGCTAGTTACGGTTCTATGGCTGCATTGAAGCCTTGCCACCTACTCCATGCCAGCCCTGAGCTCTGCAAAGACATATAAGGTTTTAGGGAGTATTGAGCTTACAACAGAACAAAACATTTTACAAGCTCAGCATGTCCTCCATGGAATTCAGGAGAAAGGGAGGGACTCCAAATGTGTGTATGTTTGAAGCTAAACGTCAGGCAAACAGCGAAATACATAAATGAAATACACATATGAGAGCTGTTTTACCTGCCAAAGATTCTTTCTGTCCATTCAGTCCTCAGATTTAGACAGTTCTTCCACGCAATACAGGCAAGTCAATGACAGCGCTTTCTCTGTTACGGCTGTACACAAAAAAAAAGGGAAGGTCCTTTCCCTTCCTCCCGCCTGCTGACTGGATACTGAAAGAGCAGCAGAAGACTATTGAAGCCATCCCTCTACTCTTCCCCTCTATGAACATGTTCCTTGTCAGCACATTAGAATACAGTGCTCCTAATTGGCTCCCAGTCATGCCCCTCCCTCTTTCGGTTTGAGTGCTGCTGTATAGGGGATCGAATGAGACTGATACCAAAGTCAAGTTTAGGTACTTATAGCTGCATGTTAAAAAAATGCATTTAATCATTTATGAATGACTACACAGATGCATACATTTGTGTGTTTCTGTATCTGCCTGCAGTTCAACTTTAAGCGATGACTGTACTTATACATAAGCAAGTCTAGACAGCCTGATGCTGCCCTTTCCCATCCTAGACACCTCCTTTAACTTACACTGGCAACATCCTCCATCAGCCGTGGCCTATAGAGAGATGCAGTGTCCATTAGGTCCTATGGAGAACGTGCTGGACATGCACTGCAGCTTGTTGGTTCTAAGCTCGCTCCCGTGATGGACTACAATCTCAATACATATTAGTAAACTATACATGAGACTCTAGTCCAGCGGTTCTCAACCTTTCTAGTGCCGCGACCTTTTGATAAAATTGCCCAAGTTGTGGCGACCCCTAACAGTAAAATTATTTTCGTTGCTCCTTCATCGCTGTAATTTTGCTACCGTTAGATAGCGGCTCCCGGCCCCCCGGGAGAGAAACACTTTCTCCCAGAAAGGTTTACTCTGCTCCATCAAGCAGAGTAAACCTTTCCCTGCTCTGGTTTTTTTTTTCTGACATCGGAGCCACCGGCCGCCGTCAGTCAGGAAAAAAAAAAACCCAGCAAAGGAATGCATAGCTAGATTCCTATTGGCTATTTCGATTTGCAATATCCAATAGCAAGCTGGCTATTGCACCCGCACTCTGCTGCTGTCAATCACTAGAAGAGGACCTGATTGAGAACTTCAGGTCCCCCACTGCTGATTTACAGCAGCAGTGGGCGGGTGCAATAGCTAGTTTGCTATTGGCTATTGCAAAGTGAAATAGCCAATAGGAATCTAGCTATGCATTCCCATGCTGGTTTTTTTTTTCTGACTGCCGGCGGCTCCGATGTCAGAAAAAAGAAACAGAGCAGGCAAAGGTTTACTCTGCTCGATCAAGCAGAGTAAACCTTTCCGGGAGAAAGTGTTTCTCCTCCGGGCGGCCGGGAGCAGGTATCTAATAGCAGGAGACTCCCGGAGCGTCCGGGAGAGTCGGTATGTCTTTAGGCGACCCCTGGCAAATCGTCATTCGACCCCTGACGGGGTCGCGACCCACAGGTTGAGAACAGCTGCTCTAGTCCATCATGGCAGCGAGCTTGGAGTGGTGGCTACTTCACATCACACACAGGGACCATGGGGAATGCAAGTAGCCACCTTCTAGAAGGAAGGACAGTGTTAGCACCAATTCAGAGATGATTTGAGGATCTACACAAATGAGATACATTTTTGTTAATAGTTCAGGTACATTTTAAAGTTTTAACTCCTGAGTTTAGGCTCACTTTAATTTTAGTGGTAAGATGTACCCAACATTACACACAATACGTAAGGCTGTTCAAGCTTTGCATTTCATTTCTGAAGGTCCCTGGCAGGAGGAAGGATTCACTAAAGTAGCTGATATATAATATTACTGCAGATGTCAAGCAGATGTTGTGCAGTCTGAGCAGGAATTGTACAGGATCAATGTTGTACCACAGTGACAACTTTACATCCTCTCATATTTCACGCACGTTAAACCTCTCAGGCAGAAAATCTTTTAGCTCAACATAAAATGGGCCACTAGGCTGACCACAGTCTTCTTCAGAAGAATGGCTTGAGCTAGCCGAGTACAAGCTCAATACAGGAACATATTTTAGTGAAGAGACAACTTGCCCACATCTTGCCAAGACAGAGGCCAACCATTACACCACGGTAACAGAACCTGGACAGCAGATGTCCTGAAACTTTTGAAATCTATTCCTCATGGGTTGCCTGGTAAACTAAACTAAAGGCCCCTTTCTGGAGAGGAAAGTAAAGCAGTTGCTTGATTACGTAAATTGGTAAATGTTTACAAATAAAAAAACCTTAATTATGACATTGGCTAATGATAGTCTGGGCATATAACTAAAGCTGTCAATATTCAATATTAAAACCTGATATGGGCCTGCTAATATCTCAGGCTTTGAAAAAGAACTCCACTAAGCACTGCTACTCGTTAAAATGATGACATAACTTCATCCTCTTACCTTTGTCAAATCTACTAGCTTTTTCTGTATGGAAAAAAACAATTTTTATATGCTTGTCATTCAAATTTTCTGTCCAATCCCCATTCCCGTGTCATAGCTTATGAGGAACCAAGGAAAAACATAGCTACCATGATGCTACTGGAGCCTCAATCTGCTGTATCTATGCTATTCTGTCAGGATTATGTGTAGGGATAGCATGCATGTCTGTGAAGGTTCTCATTTATCCAGGTCATTGTATAGCTATTGATAGTTAGACACATTCAGCTGGACTTGTTCTGTGATACTGAAGACGTTTCGTAGTTGATTTAAGCCACTTCTTTAATTCATCAAAACTGAAGCGGCTTAGATAAACTACAAACTGTCTTTAACATTACAGAACAAGTCCAGCCATATGTGACTACTATTAGCTATAACAAGTGAAGTGTTCTTGAGTAATCAACATCTACCTTGACAGATTTTATGAACAAGTAGAGGTGAGGCACTGGATTTAGATATTAAGAAGGTGGTCAGGATGTTATAAAACACAATGGCTCTGGTGAGACCACTCTCAACAAAAACGGGTTGTCAGACAAGGGAA